AAACACTTTTTAATTGATTTTAAAGAGAGTAAAGGAGAGGGAGAGAGAGAGAAACATCGATGACAGAGAAACAGCACTGATGGCCGCCTCCACACACCTCCTACTGGGGACTGAGCCGGACACATGGGCATGTGGCCTGACTGGGAATCGAACTGTCAGCCTCCTGGTGCATTGGTCGACGCTCAACCACTGAGCCACACTGACTGCGCTAAAAAATTATTTTTTAAAAGATTTGTTGCCCAGAAAGGTTTGGGCAACTCATGTGGTGGAAGGGGTAAACCCACAGTACCTTGTGCCAGCCCATGTCGGGCAGCCCGTGAGCCTCGTCCCTCTTCAGTTTTGTTCTGTCCTGGAGCAGGCGGAGATCAGAGCTGCCTGGCGCTCTCCTCTGGCGTGAAACTTGGGCTGTGTGACCTGCACCAGAAATGACGGAAGTGACCATGATCGAGATCAGCTTGAATGAGATCTGTTACGTTTTACTTCTAAAAAATGTGATTCGCCCTGAATTATGAAGTACATTAATTTGTGTGATGCAACTCAGTGATTCTCAGCCATGACCAGACATTGGGATTACCTGAAGAACTTTAGAAAATGCCAGATGCCAAATGACTTGTCCCAGGATAATTAAATCAGGACAGCTAAGGCGAGGCCCTGTACCCACATTTTTGAAAATCATTGCAGGCACGTGGAACGTGCAGGGGTGTAGGGGTTGGAAACTTCTGAGTGGGAGGGTGGGGAGGCAGGGGAGGAGGGTCTTAGACCGCCCCTGCTACTACCCCTGGTACAACCAGCACTGCTCGGGAACTTACTGGGACTCACTGTGTGCAGGTAATCACCTAGGAGCTTATTTTATTTTTAGAGATGTGTCTCTGGAGAACTTTGAGGAGGTAAAGCAATTTATTCAGCGTGGAATGACGCTTCCGGGGGATATTCTCTATTATAAAAGCGAGATCTGATCTGTATGGGTGGGTAGACAGTGCAGCTGGGTTTCTGTTGCCCCTGTCACAGAAGACTTAGACGGTTCTTGTATGGTTAGCTTGCCCTCATTCTGCCAACTGGGATCCAGGTATAATATAGTTATCAGCCAGGAATCTCCAGATTCCAGGTCACAAATGCTGGCCTCCTAATTCCTGGTGTCAGACTTCACATGAGTTTCCTGAAATGCATCTCTATGCAAATAGTTTCTATGATGGCTAAAGTAGATAGCTGTTGATAACATACCGTCCGGCAACTTGCCCACGAATTGTAACCCTATGTACCTGGACTTAACCCCTTTACACATTCACACACAGTGCCTCATGTCGTAGTCACAATCTCCCTGCAAGGTCTCCATCCGGAAGGGCTGGATGGTTAGGGTGAGATTTAGTCATTGTGATTCAGCCAGTTGCAAAGTCTGAGATCACTTGCCTTCTCGTCAGGGCATCTTTAATACCATTAAAGCGCGAGTGTTTTGTTGGCGGTGGTTTTGGTGTGTACGCCATACATTTTAACCCACATACGAAGCCACCACCACCATCGGGATGTGGACCAGCTGTGTAGATCGGAGGGCTGGAGCATTTCTCCAGATTGGTCACCCCCCGCCCCCCGGGTCCTCCACCTGCCAGGCAGCCTGGACAAGCTTTTCTTCTGTGAGAGATTTAGGTCCATGGCAGCCCAGCCAGCAATTTCTGGCAGTTTAGAGACAGGCCCTTCTGCAAGTTGGGCTGATGCTAGGAATGGAAACACGCGGTGGAATGCCATTCCTTTTCTTCCGACTGGACGAGATACTGTGATGCTTGATCCCAAAAGGACGGACTTGAGACACAGGAAGGAGGCTGGAGTCAGATCTCTAAAGGTGTGAGTACTTTCTGGAAGGAAATGAAGTGATGTCCCTCTCCGGGCCCCCAAAAATAAGAGATACCGCCTCACAGGGTGCTGGGTCCTGGGATCAGAGACTGGGTCAGAAGTGGATGTGCACAGGGCAGTGGAGGAGGGCGGCAGGTGAGCACTTGTCCCCTGTCCTGCTCCAGACCCTCCATCAGCCCCTCTTCCGCCTCTTCTTCCCGGATTTATATCTTGAGCGCCGAGCCCAGAGGCCTGAAGGGCTTGGGTCTGATCGTCCTTCCCCAGAACTCGACACCCTCAGTAGAATCCTCTGTAAGAGCGATCAGCGGGAAGCTTCTCTGATGTTCGGGGAAGCTCTTGTGATAACAGTGTTCACCCTTTGATCTGCGCAGCCAGAAAGTTACCAGCTTCAGGTTTGAAAATTCTGACAGTTTTGTTTGCTTTCCACTAGGAAAGCATAAGACCCTAAGATGAAAAGTTCTACCTAAACACCGTTTAATAACAGTCATACCCTAGGAAAAGAAAAACGCTGTCTCCATTGAGAGAAATGTAGACGGCTTTCCCCCCTTTCTGTAGCTCTGTTATAAGCAAAGGCATTTAGAGCCTCTGTCCTGAGAAGACGCAGGACCGTGACTGGGTGGGAGGCCAGGGACCTGCCGGGGGAGAGCACGGTGGGTCCGTGGTGCGCGTGCCCACACTGGTCAGCCTTGTTCCTCTCTCTCTGCAGACAGAAGTCAAGTCTTCTGGAAAGGAGAGAGGAGGGGAGGGAGGACATTTGAGCTGAGCCAGAATGAAGGGGGTGGGAAGGGCTTTTTTTCCTGGCAGAGGAAAGAACTAGTTCAAAAGGTCCCTGGCTGACAAGAGGTTTTTGTGTTCGGAGCAGAGAGAAGGCTGTTGTGGCGGGTGTGGTAGGAGGCAGGGCTTGGGTCACGTAGGGTTGTAGACCATACAAGGTGTTAACGATTTGGTTCTTAGAGAAATAGATTTTAAGCAGAGGGCTAAAGTGGTTGGATTGATAAGGTTAAAAGATGCCTCTGATTGCTGTCTGGATAGGGAAAACAATCAGAGATCATTGAAGAGACACGAGGGCTGTCCTGGATGGCCCAGGGGGACTGGGGAAATGTGATCAGATTTGAGTCATATTGTGAAGGCTGAGCCAGTAGGACTTGCAGGACTTGCGACTGGGTTGTATGGACAGGGTAAGGGAAGGACATGAATCAAGGATGACTCTTGGGCTTTGGAGTCTGGGGGGGAAGGGATGTATCCTGTAATCCAATGAGGATGACAGGGCAGGTGAAAATTTGGGGAGGTGGAATCTGAGCAAATAAAGAGTACTTCTCGGCCTGGCAAAGCGTGAGTTGTCTGTAGACTGTCAAGATGGGGTGCTAAGGACTCAGTGGGTACCCGTGTCTGGAATTTGTGGTTGCAGGCAGGCACCAGTCAGCCATTTATAGGAGTTTTCAGGGACTTTGGGTCTTATGGAAACTTTCAGTATGTTAGAAACATTTAGTCGTTGGAGATTGAGACTGACACCTGAAGAACATGCGGGAGTAGGGTGGGATTGCTCCGTCCCTCCTGAGGGGACACCTAGGTGATGAGCACACAGACCCCCTGCAGCCGTACCACTGCCTTGCAGGGGCGTAGTTCTGAAGTCCTTCATGCGCCTCCCCTCTATCGCGCCGGACATAGATCTCACTTCCCGTTGACAGATGTTCCCAGATCATTAAGATCTCACCAGTTGTTCAGCACATTCACGTTTCAAAGGTTCCTGAAAATGACGCGATCACGAGTCTGCCCGGTGTTTGTGCTTACGTGTCTTGTACGTGCTGCTGGAGCCCGCTGTCCCCCCACCATGTCCAACTGGCCAGTGAGAGCACAGTCCTCCTTAACATCAAGGGGGTGATAAATCAGAAGACTATGAAGAAAGGGGGATGGATGATGCCTCAGGATGGAAAAAGGCCGACAAGCCAAACCCACTTATTTATGTTTGGATAAGCTTCCCCACTTGACCAGTCCCTGGCTTAAGCTCTGCTTCCCCTTTTGATTCCAGTTTCTTAAATCATTTTTGCTCTTTCCTGAAAAATCCTCTTGTATCTACTCCAACAAGGACATTTCCTTGTTCCCTCAACTACTGTTCTAAGTATCCTTGTGTTTCCCGTAGTTTTTAGAGTTTGTTCTGTTAGAAAGTGGAGATGATTTCCCCCAGACTGAGCACTGCCACGTTGGAGAAGAGTCTGATTATACTGATCATCTAATTGGCTCCCCCACATGATCAAACGTGTTGCCACGTGGTCACCTTGGCAGTGCCTGGGTTGCCAGAGATGTCAACACGAGGCTTTTTTAGATGAGCAGATGCCCGAGCACCCTCTGGAAAAAACAGTCTCCTCTCCTTTCCACAGTTTAACAGCTGTGTGACCATGAGCAAATTACTGGATTTCTGCAAGCCTCTGTTCTCTCCTCCGCAAGCAGGGATAATATAACCCACCTCTGATACTTGAATTAAATGAAGGAATACCTGTAAAACCCTTAGCAGAATACCTGCTACATACAAGGAACTCAACAACCTTTAGTTCCCAGCCTGACCCCTCTGAGTCTTCATGCATCAGGAAACAGTAACCACGTACTCTGAAAATACACAAGCCAGAAAGTGGCCATTCTAGTAAAGACAAATGGAGCTTTGGAAGCAGGCTAGACTGAAAAGATGAAGGAAGTAGACAAGACAGTGGAGAAACGATGCGTGGTTCTCAAAATGTGTTTCTAGGACCTCAGTTGGGAGTTCGTCAGCCTCAGTGGGGAGCTTGTTAGACATGCAAGTGCTCAGAGCTGCTGAATCGGGACCTCTGGGAACAGGGCTGGGCCATCTGTGTTTTAGCAAGCCCTGTATGTAATTCTGATGCACGCTGGTCTAAAGTAAATTCAACAGATATTGGATGAGGAATCATGGTGCGTGTTTCTGTACGTGGCTGTCTGTGTGCACACACACCCATATATGTAGACTGTAATTGCTGAAACTATTAGCCAACTGTGGTAATACAGCAAAATCCCGCCCACTGTTCTTTGGTACGGTTGTTTGAATAGAAATATCTAGAATGCTTATTTGCAATAACTTTGTACTAAATTCATTTTAGGTTTAAAATTATAGATTTATCCACTTTCTTTTTCTTCTTCTTCTCTAGGAAATTCCACTTACTTGGATGACCATGGACCACCTCCTAGTAAGGTAAGGTCTCTGCTGGTGATATAAACCCCTTTTTTCTTTTCTCAGTACCTACAGCCTTCACCAACCCCAACCAGTTCGCTCCTGACCCTGAACTGTTCACAAGAAAATAGTAGATGGCAGATGGCAGGTTGATCTTTGACTTGAATACGGAGACAGGAAGCATATGGAGGTACCAGACTGGTGAGAGGGGAGAGCCATTATCTCATCAGTCTCTGTAGCTGTCCCAGCCCTGGGCCTTCAGCTGACTTCAGGTCTTTGGCAGCTTCTCCTGCTGCTGCCCCATTGGCCTCAGCATCCATGCTGGCCCGTGGTGTGATGCCCACAGCCCGGCCTCCCCAGGCCTTGGAGGCTTGTCCAGCCTCACCTCTGCCCACTTCTCCCCAGCCTGCCTTCCTTGGCACACTCCACCAAAGGCTCACCCCTTAGTACCAATCACATTTCTCGGCCAGTGCCCTCTCCAGGGAGCTATGGCTTATTATATAAAGGCTATTTGTTAAGATCATGATGACTACCACTGTAACTTCCCTTGCAGTAAAATATATGTCCCTTGGTCAATAACCTGCCTGGGAGGGAAAGTAAGTTGGGTGGGAATAAGAGTGACGCAGTTGTCTGCTGTTCCTTTGCCACTAAGTGCACTTCTCTCCTGGGGGACAGGTGGCTGTCTGTGGGGCCCATCAGCTGTTTCCCTCAATGGTATGTCAGGACATTGCTTTGGGTTCCAGGTTTGATTAAGGGGGTTTTACCTGTTCAGAAGACCCAGGCCCACTTTATATAAACTTACCTTCTTATACTCACTTTTTGATGACTGGCCTGGGGCCACCCCTTTAGTCCTCCTGGACTTACTCTGGCAAGGGTGGCCATTCTATCTGTCCCTTTGCTAGTGTCCTCAGTGCCTGGATTCTGTTTTGTTGGGCTCTCTCCCATGCCCCTGAAGGTCTTTCATTGTTCGTGTATCCCCCTCACAGTCCGGTCTGCACCCCTCCCTCTTCCCCCACCCCCAACGAAACCTCCCTGTGATACACAAAATTGATTAGGTCATATCAGATCATTTTATACCACTTTCAGAGTAAAAGAGTTTGTAAACTTCTCCAAGTTTGAAAATTGTGAATATAATCTCTTTAAACAAGCCGGAGTTTATATAATAGAATCTTTCACCATAATTGTATTTTCATTATCTAGAAGTGGAGTAGCAAAAACACTCTTGACTTTCTAAGCAGTAGCCAAAATAAGAAGAATATAAAAATGGGTAAAAATAATATTGGTGTGTTAACTTCTTTTCATCCATGCGTATTCCTTCTGGCAGGGTGGAAATTAATCCCAGCAGTGATGAGGTCAGACTTCCAGATAAAAGTCCCTTGAGTGTTCCCTGAGGTGGGGCTTTTGTTGTTGAGGTCTGCAGACCGCTGGCATATCCAGAGACATGGTGGCACACAAAGGATAAGGACGCACACATGTGTGGCCTCCAGAGTGAGTCCCCCACCCCCGCCGACAGGAGCCAGCAGGGCTGAGTCCAGACCCACAGTTTTCATCTTTGCTTAGCATTCGGGAAGAACATTTTGATGCCAAGACCGAAAGAGCTGTGATCTAGATAAAGTAAGATTTCTAAGCCCTGAAACTGGACTGAGGTTTACAGGCGAGTTTTCATTTTATTAAAAGCACAGTTGTACGAGTTTCACATTCCACAAGTAATAGCCATTTGGGGAATGGGGTGTGTGCCACACAACACACACAGGGCCCAGGTCTTCATTGTCTCCAGTGTTTCCATAAAAAAACAACCAAACGCCTCTGGTTTTCACTTGCTTTTCAAATCCACTTTAACCTCACAGCTCACCTCAGTTTTTGAGCTGTGTCATTCAAAACCAGATGTTAATCTTTTCTTTTGTCAACCACTTTTTTGCTGGCATTTTGTGTGTGCATAGAATATGGTCTTTAGGATTAGAGCCCTACTAGAAATGAACATGGAGATCTCTTTTGTATGAACTAGAAAGATGTTCTGAAGTATAAAAACTGGCACAAACAGCAAGCATAGTATGATCAAGCTTCTTATAAAACTGTGCGTGTGCGTGCGTGTGGAAGGATCATTGTATTTTTCCAGATGATGAGATTTCAACTTTTTACCCTATTTCTTATGCTTTTCTGTATAATTTGAGTTCACTAAAATAATGTCTACTCAACTGGAAGACCAGGAAAAATAACTCCTGGTGTGAGATGGAACTTGGACGGAAAAGCCTGCAGGACCCTGGCTTCCAAAATACCCCTGTAGTTAGTTCTGTGGACCCGCCCTCGCAGCCTCCCTGCTGAAGGCTGACCCTTCCCCCCCTGGCTTTGCTTCACCTGGAACATGAGCAGCGAGCGTTCGAAATGATCAGTTCTGGTGGTAACCAAGACAGTTATCATTTCCTTTGTGTTGGGTGTCTAGCTCTGATAGATAAGGAGACTTGGTCTCAGCAACCCATGGAAGATAAAATCAGCGGACGTCTGTTGTGTCCCATGTGCCAAGCACGCAGCTAGGCACTGTGCGTGCACGCTCAGTCTCTATAAAACTCTGTAAGAAAGGAAGTAATTGTGTAGTCTTTGTTTAACAGATGAGGAAACTGGATCTTATAGAGACTGGATAGCTTGCCAGAGATCACGCACTAAGTATTGGCCTTGGGAATCCAGCCCAGGGCTATGTAGCTTCAGGGTCCATGCTATTAATCATCTCAAGATTACTAATTTAAGTAGAAATACAGTACGTTTTACCTTATTTCTGGAGTTTACTCTCTTATATAAGTTGTTTGGGACATTGACTACTTCAGTTAACAAGTTTTGACCCTCAGAAGACCAGAAAAAAATTAGTCATTGCCATTTACCACGTGGGTCCAATGAACTCTTGATTTTTTTTTAACCATCTAGTGAATTCTTTTATTTCTACCTCAACTTTTTCCTTCCAGTCACCTTTGTATACATACACACCTTCAGCATTTGTTCATTAACAAACTGTATATAAAGTAAAATTTGGTACATAAACACCATAAAAGGTGAAAGAAGACTGTCCCACATTCATTGAACAAAATGAATGATCCAGGTTCTTGTTGGAAAATTCTGATGACGTTCTTCCTCCTGCTGACTAACTGCATGAGAATACTATCTTTTCTTTTTGTTCTTAGAAATATCATGTTCACTCACTGACTCCAGAGTTTCAGAGAATTGATCTGGGATGTCATTGTCTGGACACTTGTAGCCTGAGGTTTTACTCCCTTGATTAATTTCACCATCGTCATTAGAGTCTTGAGAGCTGTCATCCAAGTCTGGGCATTCATCTCGGAGTCCTCTACTCCACGTGAAACCTCTCCCTCTGTCGATTTTCCTCTTTGTCTTTAGAGTCAGGAATGAAGAATTCTGAATTCTCCATTCTGTTCAATGGAAGTTGAAAGCAAACTACAAAGGTCCTACTCCCAATGTTCTTTTATATCTTTCAGAAAGATGTGCAATATTTTAGGTAATGCAATAAGAAATACAAAGGGTGATGCAATAGTTATAATTGATTTCCATAATGAATCATTCTTCTAGGCCTACACTGTTCAATACAGTAGCCATTGTTCTTGGTTATTTTTGAAACTATGGGGTATTCCAAACACACAAAAATAGTGAAATAAATGAAACGTACACCCCATATACCCAGTGTATCCATGCTGTAGATTTAAAACATGTTACTATTTTATCTCATCAGATTATTTACTCTTTCTTATTTGTTGTTGGTGGCAAGGAGGCTGAGGAATATGGATTTTGAAATCAAATCTCAGTTCAAATCCTACCGATGTGACTAGTTACCTTAGATTAAGTACCTACCCGAGCTTCAATTTTTTACTTCTAAACAAGATTAGTAATGCCCACGTCTTGCGTTGTGAGGTTTAAATGTAATAAACAGAAAATACTTAGCATGATGCCAGACACATGTGGGCACCCACCAGTGGGTTCTTAGTACTACAGAAGTTTCTTTTACAGGGCCTTCGGAAGATTCTGGTAACTTAATTTGGGAAAACGTAGACTAATTCTCACTCCCAATCTCCAACCCATTTTCTTTGGATTTTTAAGAGCAATTAATTACATGTCAGTTGACCTACCAGATACCATCTCCTAGTTTGTAAGAATGTTCAGGTCCTGTAGCTGGCCCTCTTTTATTCCTTGGGCAAGTTCAGCACACTAAGCAAAGCCTTCCATGATCCCTTGTCATGTAGCTTTTCTTAAGTCTATATTGTTCTCTGTGTCCAAACCTGACTTTACCCAAAGTCCTTTGAGAAAAACCCTACAAAAATAAATCTGCTTTTCATTTTATGGAAGAATCAATTGCACTGGGTAATAGGTTTGTGTTTAATGATTCATGATGAATATATTAGGGTCAGAGAAAGAGAAAACTAACAGGACAGATTGAGGCAGGGAGTTAGGAATCAGTTTCACTCTGATGAGCATGATCTTGAAGGAGTCTCTTCCTCTCTCTCTCTCTCTCTCTCTCTCTCTCTCTCTCTCTTTTAATCATTTCTGATGGTAGGAAAATTAGTGACTTGAATATTTTGTTTTTAAATAACTCTAAGGGCGTGTGAGCTCAGTGCGTGCTTTAAAGAACTGTGTGCTTTGGTATTTTGTTGGAGATGGGCAATTAAAAGCTTAGAAGGTGAAAGAATCTGCAAAAGGGGAAAAAACTAGCCTGACATAATGAGGTTATTGTTTCTTATCCCGAAGTCACCTGTATTCTTGCTTCACTCTCCTTTGCACTCATCACGGCTCCTAACCGTGAACGCAGAAGTGTTTGGCTCAGTTAGTAGTCTCCTGAGATTTCAGCATTCCATGGAGATATGTCCAAGTTCAAAAATAGTACATCTAAATTTATCAATTTTAGGAGTACACAATGTGTCCACTTTTTTCCGAAGAATATAACAAACTCATTTCTTCCTCAATACATGCTTAGTGCTATTAAGTACATCTTTCACTTATGTCTTTTTCTTTTAATTAAAAAAATT